GGGGCGGAGGGCCGGCTGTTTGGAGAAGGGGTGGTGGTGGCCGCTGTCGCGGGGGCTCATTCGCAGGGTGGCTGCGAGGGAGCGGTGTGGAAGGTCAAGCAAGAGCCCCGGCCGCTTCAAGGGGGCGGCTCGTTGCAGTCTGGCCCCTGAGCCAAAAGGGGACCCGCAGGCTTGCCGCAGCCTGGGGCTACTTTGCAAGGCACGTGTGCCCTCTAGCGCCCCCGCCGCTGCAGCCCGCAGCCGCCAACCCCCAGTAGGCTCGCACAGGCGCGACCTCGCGGCACGCGCACACCCGAGTGCGCATGTAGTCCTGGCTGCGGATCTGGTAGGCCCTCGCGTCGCACTCGTCCCAGCAGCCGCTGCACTCGGCGGGCGCCTCCGAGGGCTGCCGCCGCTGCGGGGATACAGGCAAGCATAACGAAGGGGGAACCAATGCGCGTGGGCTTTCGGAGGCTTGCGATACGACCCCGAATGCTCATGATTGCAAACGCCGTGGGTGGTTTTCCATCCTTTTTCATGCGTGCCTTGGGCTGCCGCCAACATGCCAGCACAAGGCAGCACTCACCTCTGACGCCCCCCGCCCTATTACCACCAAAACTAAAGCTCAACAGGCCCCCACCTTTCCACTCCAAAGCCATGCGCTCTCCCCCCCCCTTGGCGCGGCCCTCGCGTCCAGACCCCAGGCGCGGCCCGCCCCTTCGGCCCCGCCCCTTACCCGCAGCGAAACGCCCGCCGCCGGCCGCGCCCCGCGTGCGACCGCCCCCTTAGGGGTCTTCACAGCCGGCTCGTCCCCAGTCAAAGACATGTCGTGCCGCATGATCGCCAGGCAGCTGACCAGGCGCCCGGCGATCCCGGGGCCCTCAGAGATCGTCGATGACCCCTCGTCTTCCTCCTCACCGCCGCTGCTGAAGCTCCCGCTGCTGCCGCTGACGCCGCCGCCGCCAGCACCGCCGCGGGCGCCCACAGCATGCTCGCCGTCGCGGCGGCGCTCGCAGGCGGTTTCTCGCCTCGTAGGGCTCTCCACGGTTGAGCTGCCAAGGGGGGAGGCTGGGATCGAGTTGAGGGGCGAGTGGCCTGCGCACAAACCGTGGCAGGGGTGGGCGGGTTGGGCCGGAGGGTGGGTGAGCGTCATGCGTGTGCAGGTGGCGAGAGACGTGTCAGGGGCTGGCTAGTTGGACAGCCGGTGATCCAGGTGCTTGCAAAACCACACTCCTGCCGCGTCCGCGGCTGAGATGCGGCATACATGCAACACCAATGCGGCCGGTGTTGCGCCACCGGCTTCAATGCCGGCGGTGTTTGCACAGCCGCAGGCGCACTCGACGCCGCAACCGCGCCGGCCCTGATTTGACTGCGCGGGGCCTCACCCTCCTCTCCCACGCTGAACGCGTCCTGGACATCGTGCCAGTCCTCATCTGGGGGTGTCGAAAGGCGTCGCACCGAAGGCGGGGCACACAGATTTGCACACGCTGACGTGCGCCAGGCCGGGACGCTGGCCCAAGGGGAGGGGGCTGGTTTGCTTCGCAGCTGCGGGCCCCGCGTGGCCTCTCACGGCAGGATGCGGCGCTGTGGCGCGGCCTTAGACGGGCCGCGCGGCGCGCGAGGCTCCGAGATGCTGCACGAGGGGGGCTATGACGGCGCTGTGAGTGATGGGCATCATGCGATGCCCGCCCCGAGGCTCGCAGGGCGCCACGGCTGTGGCCCCGTTCGATCGTGCGCGCACCCGACAAGATTGACGGCGGGTGCGCGTCGCTGCGTGCCGCCGTGGACAGAACCTTGACTGGCGGCAACGGGGCTGTGGTTGCGCTTGTCGACTTGGGCCGATGGCGCCGCCGATGCACACGCCGCTCGCGTTTCGGCTTGCGTTCGCGCGGTTTGCGCTCGCCCGGCGGAGCCCCGCAGCACAACCACCACCGTATGCCTCCCTGCTGCTTGACCTCCGTCTTTGGCTCCTCCATGCGGTCCCTGAGCGAGAATACCGTCGGGGTTGGCCTAGGGAGCAGTAACTGCCCCCTGCTTGCTTCACTGCTGTAAAGCCTAAAACATATACACGTTGCTGTCGATCAGCGCCGTGGCTGTGGCTCCTCGCCTTGGGCTATGACAGGCTTGCCTGCACACGCCATCGACGTTCTTTGGAATCAGGCCTCTTGGTATACACTGACTGCTTGCTGAGCTTTACTGGTGTTGATTGCTTGCCCTAGGTCCGTTCAGCCAGGGCCACCGTCACACACACTGCACACAAAGTCACTAGGCCGCACTCACTCGTGCTCCGCATCACATTGGCTACCCTCCATCTCAAAACCAGACAATTCATCGGCTGAAAAACTGATATTGTTTCAGTCTAGAGCACAGACCCGGATCACACCAGGTCTAGAAGCAGGCATCGCAGCCTGGAAGCAGCCATGCGACCACGCAGCCCGCAAGTACACCTAACGTTCGCTCTGTTACTAGCTGTGGGTGCTACCAGTGTACAAGCCTCGCTCTCGGACCTGGCCTGGGTGCGCTGGGACACGGGGACACCACGCCGGGGGCACGCGCAGTCGCGCGCGTGCTCCGTTCGACGCGAGCACTGCTTGCGCTGTGCGATAGCGGCGCGTCACACGTGGGACAGCATACCTGGACGCAGAGGCCGCATCAATATGCTGAGACTGCAAAGGGCAGGCACCTGCACACTGATCATCGCACCTGCAAACAAGCGGGACTCGGCGGACCTCTTCCCCGCCGCCGCCCCCGCGGCCGCCTTTGCCGCGACGCGACCCCCGCCGCAGGTCACGTGCGGCAGCACGCTCAAGCTCGCGCACGACAGCAGCAAGTTCCGGCTGCACTCCCACCAGGTCTCCTACAGCCGCGGCAGCCAGCAGCAGTCCGTGACGGCCTTCCCAGAGTCCGACGACGCAAACAGCTACTGGATAGTCCACGGCCCCAGCGTGAGGCGCCCTTTTAAAACACGCGCCGGTCGCGCTGCGGGGACCAAAATTCGCTGGCGCAATGCAATGCAAGCGCCGGGCGCAGCAAAAGAAGAGAGGGGTCTGGAGTGCAGCAAGTGCCGCCCCGGCTGCTGCTGCGTAGCCGCGCCGCGCTGCACCAAGGAGGGCTCATGCTGGCCCTGCCGCCGCGCGCCTGAGCCTGGCCCGCCCCCCGTCCCCCCGCAGGACGCGCCCTGCAAGCCGGGCTTTCCTTTGAAGAAGAAGCAGCGATTGCGGCTGCAGCACTCCGCGACGCGCAAGTGGCTGCACAGCCACCTGTTCCAGTCGCCGCTTTCGGGGAACCAGGAGGTGCGCGCCGCCGGCTCGCAGGCGCGGGCGCGGGTGCGGCGTCGCGGCGATTCCTGAGGCCTCGGGCGGCCTACACGTATATAAAGGAAGACGGCATCTCGCACGCAAGCGCATGCTGCATGCTGCGCCACGCTGGATGCGCTTGGCCTTTCATCTGTGACGTCATTCCAGGCGCGCTCCCCTCAGCTGCACCCTCGCACGCGCCCTGGCCGCCATCCTGTTGCCACGGCGGCAGGTTTCTGCGTTCGGCGGCGACGCGCAGTCTGACGGCGGGGATGTGTGGACTGTGGACTGGGAGGGCAAGGCCAAGTTTTGGAAGCAGGACGGAAAGGTTGGGGGGGGAGTTCGGGGCGAGTTGGGTGGCGGGGGAGCGAGTGCGACTGGTGGCGGGGGAGCGAGTGCGAGTGCAGCTTCACGCTGCGCGCGCCGCGGCCTCCCATGCCATTGGCAACGCCGCGCTGCGCCTCCGTGGTTCGGTCGTTGCTGTGGGACCTCGGCGAGGCGCGCACACGAGCACGCCCCCCTCGCGCCGCCCGCTGCTGCCGGCGAAGACGGCCGCACGCGCTCTCCGGCCCCAGACCCTCCCCCCTGATAAACCCCCCCTCCCGGCCTCGCCCCCGCTCTCGCCCGCTGCATTTCGAACCCACCGCCCCAGGTTACGCTGCAGCACGTGGACACCGGCGGCTACCTCCACTCCCTGCGGCAGGCAGCGTTTGGCCACCCCATAGCGGGCCAGCACGAGGTCTGCGCGGTCAAGAGCAGGAACCGGGACTCCGAGTGGTTTGCCGCGGAAGGGGTCTACCTGCCGCGCGCGGATAGGAAGGCAAAGGCGGCAGAGGGGGGTGGTGCGGCGGCGGCGGCGGGGGAGGAGGAGCGGGAGGAGCTGTAGGGCGCGGCTGGGCGGCGGCGGCGCGGCGTGCTGTGCCTGCGACAGGGCTGGTGCTCCTGTAGAGAGGGATCAATGCATTTTTCTTTGTTTGATGTCTGCCTCTTGCGCGTCTGTAAATCTTGTGTTCCTCTTATTGCCTGCACCAGCGTGCGAGCAACGGCACCCGCGGGGCGACGCCGGTGGTCGGCCGCAGGCGTGAGTTCAGCAGGGGCCACCTAGACACCAGGGGGTCAGCTCCCGGGCAAGCTCACTTATGCAGGGCGGTCCCGCTGACGGGGCACATCACCAGCGGCAGCAGCAGACATGGGACCACATGACGGCGGTTGCCCAAGCGGGGCCGCCTGCAAATGCCGCTGGGCGCGCTGGGCGCCCCGCTCTCTGCCCGACGCAGCCACTCATATTCGGCGCGAAGCGCTCCCCTTGCTTGCAGGCACCTGCTTGCTGCTTTGCAGTTCAGGTGTTGGGAGGCCACACACAATACTGCTGGTTTTGTGCAGGTACAGGATGGCTGTTGCTACAAAGGGTCGCTGATCTCGGCGACCAGGGCTTCACGGTGCGAATCACCGGGGTGCCCCTGGTCCCTGAGGGCGGGTGACGTGGCTGCCGGCCGCATAGCCAGCTCAAGTAGGCACGCCCCTCACTTGACACAACGCTCGTTTTTCGCCTCCTAATACCTTAATCCGCGCAGTTCCTGTAATCCAGCGAGCGACGACGTACTGTACCCCTTTTGCTTTGCCTGCGGGCAGAACGTCGTCGCGGTGCGATTTCCTGGATTGCTGACGAGTGCAGCTCATTGCAAAACAAGTGGTCGAAAACAGTGAACAGCTGTGTGGTTGGCTTGTGCCGCGAAACTGCCGGCGCCAGCGCCGCTCAGATGCCCCGACCAGCTCGAGCTGCGAGTAGTTCAGGGCGGCACCGTGCAGTGCGGTGGGATCACCTGCGCGGCATGGCGGCCCCAACGCAGCTGCTCGTGGCTGTTTGGACGATGGCCGTAATCCTCTTGGATGGTGCTGCTGCGGGCACCTACGAAGTGTATGTTGGAGGCAAGCAGTCCGAGCTCGAGCGTGCGCCGCACGGCGTGAATGTGCCTGGCAGAGTAATATGCAGCCGTTTCGCCCACTCGCCGCCCCACATCCCATGCAAGTACAGGGCCGACCCGATCCCGCGCACGCCAGCCCCACCGACTCAGCACTCTTGGACCCTAAGCCGCCCGACCAACTGCCCCGCCTTGCGCCCTCACCCCTGCGCGCCTGCAGTTGACGATGTGACCAACCCCGGAAGCTTCCGCGGGGCCTTGGCCCAGGCGTCCTCTGACACCGGCGCCAGCACGATCACATTCAGCCAGTACCTCATAAACCCCTTCGTCACCCTCACGAATGGCGACCTGACTGTCACACTGCAGCCGGGCGCATCGCTGACAATCGATGGCACCCTGCCCGACGGCTCGCAGTTCGGCATTTTTTCGGACGCCGCCACGCACGCCACGATCACCTTGGCCTCGGCCAACGCGTTCAACTTCCAAAACCTCATCCTCAACGGCGTGAGCCTCAACGTCTCAGCGTCGGGGGCATCGCTCGCGGTGGGAAGCTGCCGGCTCACAGGAGAGAATAAGGACGCCGGGCCGCCTGCCATCAGCATGCAGCAGGGGACGTCGCTGCTGGTCGATGCTTCGACATTTGACACCCTCAACTGCTCTTTGGGGTCGGGCGCAGGTATTTATGGTGAGAGGCCACGCCCGGTGGGGCACACCGGCGGCAGCTGCAGCAAGAACCGGTGCAAGGGCAAAATGGCGCTTGCGATTCTGATTAACCCTGGCTTTACCACAATGAAGCGGGCAGTTTGCAGCTGCAGACCAGCTGACACGAGGGCACATGCAGCATGCTGTGAATTATAAGAAAGGGGCGCATAATCGGGCTGTGTGCGCCTGCTACCGGTTTTTGCATAGTTCTCAGCAGCTGCGGTAAACATCCCTGTGCACCTCACACCCATGCAATCGCCCATGCACAGGCGTGAGTGCTGACATCACTGTCAGGTGCGGTTGTTGGATGATGCACAGCGGGGCTGCAGCCGTGGTGCGAGGCGAGAGTGCTGTGCCCTTGATGTCCTTGCATGGCATGCTTGTGCCCTGAAACTGCATTTCTTGGCCGTCCTCTGCTTCACTCCACTTATGGATGAACACACACACACACACACACACACATCCAATCCCGCGGGTGCAGCGCCTCCACTTTCCAGTACAACACGTTATCCGGATCAGCTGGCAAAGGGGCAGCCATCATGGTGGAGGACCTCCTCCAGACGTCCAGCTCAGCAGCCAGGCTCAAGATCTTTGGTGAGTCACCAATGCCCGCGCAGTTGCCTGGCGTGCGGCCTCGCTAGAAGCGCCCTCGCCGCTGCCTGACCTGGGTCATGGGCTGCACTGGATTTGTGAGGTCGTACAAGGGCTTGCATACATGTGCACGCTCATTGTGCATGCATGAATGTGTGAAGCGCGCACGCATACACCCTGACACACGCACGCACGTGCGCACACACACCTACACACACACACACACACACACGCACGCACACACACACACACACACACACACAAAACCAATCAACCCCTCTCATTTGCAGACAGCCAGTTCACCACCAACGCCGCGATCCAAGGCGGTGCCATCTACACTGACAACGCCGCGGAACTCAAGATCTCCACCACCATTTTCCAGGACAACTCGGCCACCCTCGCCGTCGGCGCCGTCAGGGCCGCGTGCCGCGGCTCGCCGACGCGCGACTCTGGCGCGGTCCAGATCACTGGGACGTCCTTCTTTGCAAACTATGCCCCAACAGGCGGCGCCCTGGAGATCGCCGGCTGCGTGGACCCGCTGATTTCAGACTGCTCGTTCTTCGACAACCGCGCCGACTCTGGCGCTGCGGGCGCGCTGCTGGCCACGTCCTTCACCAACCTGACTGTTGGCCGCAGCACCTTTTACGCAAACATTGCCACCACGGGTGGCGCCATCGCCATCCAGGCGCCGCAGCTGGGGTCGCCTCTTAACAACGTGCTGCAGCTGCGCGAAAGCACGCTCAACTCCAACCAGGCGGGCGGCGCCGGTGGTGCGGTGTACGTCAATTCTGGCAGCGGCGGTGGCTCCAGCCTTTCATCGCTCAGCGTGGCTTTCGTCACCTTTGCTGACAACACTGCAGCCTCTGGAGCGTCCGCAATCCAGGCCGACGGCTCCGCGCAGGTCAGCAGCAGCATCTTTGTCTGCCCCGGCGCGCCCGGCCAGCCGTGCGTCGCGGCGGGACCGTCGGGCAGCGCGCAGCTGAGTCGCTGCATCCTGCCTGGCGGGTTTGGGGTACCAGGGGATGGCAATATCGACGAGAGCGACCCCATGCTCGGGGCTCTGATAGACAACGGCGGCGCCACGCTCAGCATGCTGCCGCAGCCGGGCAGCCCCGCCATCGACGCCGGCAGCGCGTTGGCGCTCAACGGGGACGCCGTGGACCAGCGCGGCTCGCCGCGCACCGTCTGTGCAGCGCCGGACATCGGAGCTGTCGAAAGTGCGCTAATGGCCGCCTGATGCAGGGCCCGGGCGTTGCGTTGCCAATGTGCGTGCTGTGCCAGGGGAGGGAATCCAGCGGCTGCTTGGGAGCATGGGACGTGCAAGCGTTTCAATGTTGGCCGCCCCTTCTGCGGGCGTCAGCCCCTGTGCACCTGCAACTCGCCCCTGTGCCTCGCCCAGATACCCGACCCCTTCCCTCCCACTCACCGCGCAGCCGGCAAGCTTCCCCCCACCGCCACCACCGCCGCGGCCGCGCCGATTTTCTTTGAGGCGCCCTCAAAGCGCGAGCCATTCAGCGAGACCCTTGTCGTTGCGGACCTTTTCACAAGCCCGACCAAGGATGGGGCGGTGAAGCTGGCGGTCGCCGCCCCCGCGCCCGCCGGCCTCACCCTCAACTCGACCAGCGGGGCCTTTACAGTCACCCCAGCCAACGGGTTCCTCGGGAACTTCACCTTCTATGTAAACGGCGTGAGGGACTGCGCAGGGGAGGCGCTGACATCCGCTGGAAACGTGACCATTATCGTCCAATGTGAGTCATATTTGCAAGGGCGTCAGTTGGAATTATTTCAGTTGTGTGCATAAATGTTCCAAGTGGTTGGCAGCCGGGCGTGGCAGGGGGGAGGCAGCCCATAAACTAGTCAGCGCCCACTGTGGCAGCATCATCCGGTCTCACCCCGTCCTGCTTGCCTGCCTCTGCCGCGCGCTCCTCCCCCTGCGCAGTCTCTAACAAGGCGCCGGCTGCGGGCGCTCTCGCGTACAGCACCAGGCAGGGCGAACTCCTGGCGGTCTCTGCTGGCGACGGCCTCTTCTCCAACGCCTCCGATCCTGATGGCGACACACTGTCCTTGGTCAGCAACACCCAGCCTGCGCACGGGAGCCTGCAGGTTTGGCAGAACGGCTCATTTGAGTACACGCCTAATCAGACGTATACTGGCTCGGATGGGTTCACCTACACCCTCACCGATGGCAGTGCGTCCACAACCGGGACCGTCTCAATCACCATAGGTGCGTTCCAGGCATGAGAGATGTTGGGGTGGGGTTGATTGGGCAGGTGTGACAGATGGGGGGAGGTGCCGGGTGTGCCCGTTGGGCACGATGGTTTAAAAAATGCACGGTACAAAGCACCCAGAGTTTTCACTCTGCACTCGCTGGTTATGGGCATTGCAGAGGATTGGCGCTGCGCTCCCATGCCAGAGCACCCTAGGGCACAGCGGCTCGGATGCCAGACTGTACCCCAACACATTATTCGACCCCGCTCTTGGCCCTTCTCACCGCCCCAACAGTCTCCAATCGGCCGCCAGTCGTAAGCGCCCCCAAATACAGCGTCAGGCAGGGCAAGGCTCTGACAGTGCTGGCCGCCGCAGGGCTCCTCACCAACGCCTCGGACCCTGAAAACGACACGCTTTCCGTGAGCGGCAACACCCAGCCTGCACACGGGTCACTGGACCTCCAGGAGGACGGCTCCTTTGAGTATACACCCAATGAGACCTACAGCGGCCAGGACATCTTCAACTACACAGTGACAGACGGCATCGCGTTCACGACCGCGGCTGTCATCATCACCATCAGTGAGTTTTCAGGCAGATTTGATCGGCAGCGTTGGCGCTCAACAGCTAGGTGCTGGAAATCCAAACATGCTGCGTCCTTGTCTTTCTGCTTCGTGTCGGATCAATCGGATGGCGTTGGTCTGCTGGCTGAAGTGCTCAGAGCCCTGTCGCAGAGCAGCCAGTCCCACTGACCTTCACAACAAGGCCCACCTGCACC